TCCAGCCCTAGGAAGGAGGAGGGGGTGGTGAGGGTGGGTGAGACTTCAGTCCTCCCCTTCCACTTTTGTATGATCAGGAAGATCCCCTCCATTGGGGAGATGTGGCATTGTCTCCTCCCCATATACTGATGGGGGTAGGGGACTCTCCAACCAGGCTTATCTTAGAGTCCTCCTATCATGGCTGACATCCAGGCTCCACCTGGGTTCATTCCTCTCAGTTGTGTCCCAGCTGTGTGGGTCTGATGTTCAGAGGATTGCTGGGGAGGAAGGGCTTGGGTCAGCCACTGATCTCTTTGGAGGTCTTCCTCATCCTTTTCTGGCCACATCCTTTGTCCCATGGCTGAATCAGGGTAGGGGGTGGGGTGCCTGAGACTCAGCACTCGTCCTGTCCCTCTGGAGTTTGTGCTTTCAGGATATTCCCTCTGGGTCGCAATCAACCCCTGAGTAGTTAATACACGGGTCACAAAGACCACTCTGTGGTGAGTAATCTGGAGCACTTTCCTGCCCTATTTTCAAGATGGTGGCAGGCTGCCTCTTTCGTCTTTATCTTCGTCAGTGGGGCTCTGCCTCTGGGCTCCCAGGCTGTGCTCCATCCATAGCCCTTGTTGCCAGTTTCCAACCAGGCACTGCAATAGTGAAGCAGAGCCTGGAGTTGGCAGTCTCTTCCAGCAGCTTTTTCCTAGAAGGGCTTTGTTGAATTAAAAAAAAAAACAACAAAAAATGGCACTCGACTTCTGTGTCCAGGGAAGTGCTAGGGACCAAGCAGAACAACTGCAGCACCAGTTGCTTTACCGGGAGAGTCCAGGCCACTTGCTCCCAGGTCCCCACTCAGTCAGCCTTTCACATGCCCACTTACTCACAGACACGTATGCCAAATTTTCAATATACTCACTCACTCATAGTCCAACTGGGTCTGCCGCCATCTTCTTCCCTTGCACCCCTTTTTCCCTGACTATTTGCCCTTAACTTTATTTATTCTGTTTTCTTTAGTGGATCCTCTTCTTTTTTTCCTGATTGTGGTGGTTCTAGCTTGAGGCCTTATATTTTCTCTGGTTATCTCTTCATATAGGAATTGACTTAAAGAACCCACCCATTCTGAACATTTAGCCCTCATATTTGTATTCTGATGATTCCTATTTCAACACCTCCAGTCCCGTGCTTCAACTGTATTTTACTACCTTACATAGCAATGTGGAGGATAATTCCCATGAGGAATTATCTTCCTTAGTTTTGAGAGATCAGAAATTGGAATCATCATTCATTCTTCTCACCTGACAAATTTTGTCAGATTCATCTGTGTCTCTGAACTCTTCCTTCTCAGTTCTTTATTATTTTAGAATTCCTACCAATTTTTATTTTTGAATATACGATTTAGGTGACTTTTAAAAAAGTCTTAATAGTATCACTAAAACCAGCTCCCTATTTTCTCACATTTAGATTATGATTTATGGATTCCAGTTTTTCATTAGTTTAGTCAAGAGGCTGCTAACAGATTTTATCACTCCAAACATGGCTATTTTGTTTCTTTTTTTTCTCAGTAGATGTGATGTAAACATGCAATTATTTCTTGCTACATAGGATTAACAAACTCTTTTTCAGTGGCACTGCCATCATGGCCACATATTTCCAATTTAAAAATATATCTGAATAGATTTTATCATTTGTGTTCTATTCCATTGTTTTCATGTTTTGCTTAATGTCTCCTATATTGAATTATCCACTTTGCATATGGCCTGTTGATTATTTTGTAGTTTTCCTATTTAATCTTTATTATGTCACTATTTAGCTTGAGGAAACCATTTAGTATACAAAAACTATTGAATTTCTGAAGATAGGCAGAAAAGAATATTTTCTACTATTTTAGAATAATACTTTAAATACTACTGAGGTAAACTCAGAAAAACAGATAATGTATTTGGAAGAAGAGGACAATGGCATGAAATGTTAAAAGTATTAGATTTTATGCGTTAATCCTGTCTGTTTCCATGGAAGACTACTCAGAAAGTATAAAAATGGAACTTCTTGTGAATTTCAAAGAAAATGGTGTCAGCCTAGAGGTGAAGTGACACTGTGAGTTAATTTTTAAGGGCACAGTACCAGTAATGCTTCATGTAGCCATTTTGAATTGGAGCAAACAAAGCAAGCTTAATGGGAGTAGAGGTCATGAAAATGTGCTTGGATTTGGAAATAAATTGGACTTTTTTTGTGTGTCAACCTTGTTAGGCTGTGTTGGAAAGATGAAAAAGCTTTTCAGCACAGTTCTGATAGTTTACATTGTACATTTTGGTAATAATTGAAATATTACCAGATTCAGCAAGATTTTTTTGATCTAAATGAGGTGAAAAATTAAAAATGTTTCAAATCTATGCCTGGGGACACAAAGTATAAGATCCCCAGAATAAATGAAAGCCAGTGTATGGGTAAAACTGATATTTAAGAGTGAAAAATGAGCCGGGCTTGGTGGCTCAGCCTATAATCCCGCGCTTTGGGAGGCTGAGATGAGTGGATTGCCAGAGCCTGCGGGTTTGAGACCCGCCTGGGCAACTTGGTGAGACCTCATCTCTGCAATAAATAAAAAAGAAAATTAGCTGGGCATGGTAGTGCACACCTGTAGTTCCAACTACTTGGAAGGCTGAGGTGGAAGGATCGCTGGAGTCCAGCAGGTCGAGGCTGTGGTGGCCAGGAGTGGCCACTGCACTCCAGTCTGGGTGACAGAGTAAGACTCCAACTCAAAAAAAAAGAGTGAAAAATGAAACAGAAAACAACCTGATTAATAAATGTAAAAATGGCTTGAGCAGACATTTCTTCAAAGATGATATACAAATAGCCAGTAAGCATAGGAAAAGATACTCAACATCATTCCACTAATCATGTGGAAATTGCAAGTCAAAATCACAGTATGAGATCACTTAAGACCCATCAGAATGCTACTATTAAAAAGCGGAATAGGCCAGGTGTGGTGGCTCACATCTGTAAACCCAGCCCTGTGGAAGGCCGAGGAAGAGGATTGCTTGAGCCCAGGAGTTTGACACCAGCCTAGGCAACATAGTGAAACCTCATCTTTAAAGAAAAAAAAATTAGCTGGGATGGTGACACACTCCTGTAGTCCCAGCTACTCGAGAGGCTGAGGCAGAAGGATTGTCTGAACCTAGGAGGTCAAGGTTGCAGTGAACCATGATTGTTCCACTGCATTCCTGCCTGGGTGACAGAATGGGAATCTGACTCAAAAAACAAAAAAAAATTAAGCAAACAAAACCAGAATAACAGATGTTGGAAAGGATGTGGAGAAACTGGAACCTTGTGCTCTGCTGATGGAAATGTGAAATGGTACAGCCACAGCCACTGTGGATACAGTATAGCAATTCCTCAAAAATTAAGCATAGAATTGCCAACAATTCTACTTCTGGGTAGATGTCCAAAAGAATTGAAAGCAGGAACTCTAATAGATATGTTTGTACACCCATGTTCATAGTAGCACTGTTTACAATAGCCAAGATGTGGCATTGTCCATCGACATATGCATTGTCAAAATGTGGTATTTACATACAAAATAATCCTACTCAGGCTCTAAAACGAAGGGAATTATGGCATATTCTACAACATGGATAAATCTTAAAGACATGCTAAGTGAAATAAGCCAGACAAAACAGGGCAAATTTTCTACTTATATGAGGTACCTAAGATAGTCAATTCATAGAGACAGAAAATAGAATGGTAGTTGCCAAAGACTGAAGGAGAAGAGAAAATGGGAAGTTGTTTAATGGGTATAACATTTCCGTTTTGCTAGATGTCAACTTTCTGGAGCTCTGTTGCATAACAGTGTGAATATAACATAATGCTAATGAACTATACACTAAAAAAATGGTAAATTTGCTATTAGGCATTTTGCACCACAATAAGAAAAAGTTAACAATAAAGATTAAATCTTTGCATTTTTTTAAAAAGTGAAAGATAATTGAGGTTTTTGGAAAGGACAAGAGTCTGGGAAACAGTTTTATCTAAGTGACTGAAAGAGAAAAACTAGATATGATGACCCAGATCATACTTAGAATTTCAATCTGGCAGAAAAAAAAGTAATAGTAAAATTTAGTAATATTATTTTGATTGAGAATCTGCTGTGTTTTGTGCACTATACTGATAAATTAGATGACTAGGGACTCCCGTTCTTGGCAATAAACAAATAAATGTATAACCTGTAGCATAAAGCTGAAAACTTTAACAACTAACTTCTATGAAAGAAGGATGGGGCAAGTTCTAGGGAACAACTTTTTGTTCAGTATTCCAGCATACCTTTCTGGGGATATGGGTATATTCCTAGGTTCAAGAAAACAAAACACTGCAGCTTCATGGAGAGTTTGGGAGTTGAGACATAGGCGTTCTTTCACTATGTGACCATGTCGCGACAGGAGAAGCTTTAATAGTTTCCAGAGGATATAGAAGGCTGATGGGTTTTGCAGTGTTTGTAACAAGTCAGAGAAAGCAGGAGATTGATGAGGATGTAGCTCTGAATGTTAATGAAGACGTCTGTCCTGAGCTCCCGCTTAAAGTCTTGGCTATCTACCCATGCTGCTCTGTAACACACTAATCTGTTTTATCCTCTACTCATTCTACTAGATCTAGATGTCCAGACTGCCAGTGCAGGTGGAACTAGGTTGCCCTTGTCAAATCTGATCTTCCCAAGCAACAAAGTGATCTTGACCAATTATGTGATCATTATGTGCTTCCCTTTCCTTGTTAGTAAAACAGGAACACTGATAGAAGCTGTCTCCTGAGGTTATTATGAGGATTACAAGAGTTTATGTGTGCAACTCTTAGACAACTGGCATGAACTAAGTGCTATATAGATAGTAAGAGCTGTGTGGGTATTTCTGCTCATTGGCTCCATCATCAGCACCATGATTACATGACTCAGCGGTTTCCCTGTGTTCAGTGTCAGCTTCATATTCTTTCTCTTCTATCGTGTGCATTGTGTCTGTTTCATTCTTTCTTTCTCCTTCTAGAAGGGAAGTTTGGGCTTGAAACTCCACAACAGGAAATTTCTGAGACAGCTTCATTTCAAGAAAATAGGACAGGTGAGGACATAAGAGATGGTTCATGGTATTCCATTTTAGAAGAACTGAGGAAAGATGCTGACCATACAGAGAGAGATCAACAAAATCAAATTCAACTCAAGAACCATAATACCATCTTCAGCAACAAAACATTGAACACAAAGAGCAATTGTGAATATAAGGACCCTGGGAAAATCATTCACATGAGGCCCCATACTATTTCTTCACATAAAAGATTTCAAAAATGTTGCTCATTTACAAAAAGTTTGAAGCCTAACCTAGAAGTGAACAGTCAAAATCGAAGCAACACCACAAAACAGCTTGATGACAGCATTGAGTCTAGCCAGCTATTCACTCATAGCTCTTCCAATATTTGCAGCAAGAATATTCAAACAGGAGAAAGTTTCTGCAAAAACAAGCATTGTAGAAAAATTTGCAGCCATAAGCAGTCACTCACTCAACACCAAATTCATATTCAGGAGAAACCAGATGAATGTACTGAATGTGGGAGGGACTTCACTCAAAATTCACACCACTTTACACAACAGAGACCCCATCGTGTAGAACACCTCCATGAATGCAGCAAATGTGGAAAAACCTTCACCCCACAAGCAAAACTCAGTGTATGTCTGCCAGATCATACAGGTAACATACCCTATATATGTAAAGAATGTGGGAAGGTCTTTATTCAGAGATCAGAACTGATTACACACCAGAAAACACACACTAGAAATAAGCCCTATGAATGCCATGAATGTGGAAAAGCCTTTTTCCAGATGCTATCACTCTTCAGACATCAGAGAACTCACAGTAGAGAAAAACTCTATGAATGTAGTGAGTGTGGCAAAGGCTTCTCCCAGAACTCGACCCTTATTATACATCAGAAAATTCATACTGGTGAGAGGCAGTATGCATGCAGCGAATGTGGAAAAGCCTTCACCCAGAAGTCAACACTCGGCTTGCACCAGAGAATCCATTCAGGGCAGAAGTCCTATGTGTGTATTGAATGTGGGCAGGCCTTCATCCAGAAGGCACACCTGATTGTACATCAGAGAAGTCACACAGGCGAGAAACCTTATCGGTGCCACAACTGTGGGAAATCCTTCATTTCCAAGTCACAACTTGACATACATCATCGAATTCATACAGGAGAGAAACCTTACGAATGTGGTGATTGTGGAAAAACCTTCACCCAAAAGTCACACCTCAATATACACCAGAAAATTCATACTGGAGAAAAACACCATGTATGCAGTGAATGTGGGAAAGCCTTCAACCAAAAGTCAATACTCAGCATGCATCAAAGAATTCATACAGGAGAGAAGCCTTACAAATGCAGTGACTGTGGGAAGGCCTTCACTTCTAAGTCTCAATTCAAAGAGCATCAGCGAATTCACACGGGTGAGAAACCGTATGTGTGTGTTGAATGTGGGAAGGCCTTCAATGGTAGGTCAAATTTTCATAAACATCAGATAACTCATACTAGAGAGAGACCTTTTGTCTGTTACAAATGTGGAAAGGCTTTCATCCAGAAATCAGAGTTGATTACCCATCAAAGAACTCACATTGGAGAGAAACCTTATGAATGCTGTGAATGTGGGAAATTATTCAGTAAGAAACCACAACTCAAGGTACATCAGCGAATTCATACAGGTGAGAGACCTTACATGTGTTCTGAATGTGGGAAGGCCTTCAACAACAGGTCAAATTTTAATAAACACCAAACAGCTCATACCAGAGACAAATCTTACAAACACAGTTATTCATGAGAGGCTTTACCAAGAAATCATTTCCTAGTGCATCAGCATATTCATAAGTGAAATATACTTCCTGAGTTTCTTGAAAAAGAGAAAATTTCTCACGAGAGTCAGATGTAATTGTATGTGATAGAATTAATCTTTCACAAAAACTCTAGCCATGCTTTGCATGTGTAAACACATAGTCACATGTTATTTTATGTGAGGGAAATTATTCAGGAGGTAACTTTTTTTTTTTTGAGTTGAAGTCTCACCCTGTCACCCAGGCTGGGGTACAGTGGCATACTGACGGCCACCCCAGTGTCAACCTGGTGGGCTCTGGTGATCCTTCTGCCTCAGCCTTCCATGTAGCCAGAGCTACAGGCGTGTGCTAACACGTCCAGCAAATTTTTTTATTTATTGTAGAGACGAGGTCTTATTAAGTTGCCCGGGCTGGTCTCGAACCCACAGGCTCAGGCAGTACACTGACCTTGACCTCCCAAAGTGCTGGGATTACAGGCTGAGCCACTGAGCCCAACCAGGAGATAACTTTTAAGAATAAGTAGAAATGTCCTTATTTATGCTAGCCTTGTTAGGTATAAACTTCATCCTGGTGAGAAAATCCTTTCTGTAGAAAATTGTACAAAACATATTATTTATTAAGAGTTTGTGGGAAATTATATATCAACCTATTTATTGTGGGATATAAATCTTTCTAAAGTGCCAGCAAAGTAACAATAGGATAATATTATTTATGCATAGGTGATCATGTCTTATGTATATATGTACATATATTATATACAGGTTGAGTATCCCTTGTCTGATGCTTAGAACCAGAAGTGTTTTGGATTTCAGATATATTTAGACTTTGAATATTTGCATTATACTTATTGGCTGAGCATCTCTAATCTGAAAATTCAAATGAGCATATTTTTGAGCATCATGAAACTCAAGAAGTTTCAAATTTTGGAATTTTGGATTAGGGATATTTGACCTATATGTATGTATATTTACACATCTGTGTATATGTACATACAGATACATATGTGCTGGAGTCCAGCTCCAGGAGGGAGTCAGGGCTTGAGATGGGGGAATCGGGAAGTGGCGAAAAAGAAAAGATGAAAACGACAGGAATCCTCTTCCTGGGGAGAGCTCAAGACTCTGCCAATTTTTATTTATTTTTCACAAGCTTATATAGGTTTTCCACTCAGCCCTGTACCCACAGATGTATCTTATGTTGCTAACCAAATGCCCACATACATCCTTTTTACACTCACAATAAGGTTGACCTTTAACAATTTCAACCACAGATGGTGTTTTTCTTAAGTCAAACATTTATGAACATCCTGGTTTTCTTCCTAACTTTCTTATAACCATTTACTATTATAGGCCTATAATATCCTTACCCTATAAAGCTAAACCTTAGCCCTAAGTCTTATTTAATTTACTTACTACTATATATTTATTTCTATTATTCTTATTTCTATCCTTATATCCCTATATTTTCTTAACTATCACTTATACTATTAAATATCTCTTATCTCACCAGTTTATCTTATCTTACTATCTTATTATTAATATGCTAAATGCGATCTTCATTAAACTACTTATTTAATCCTAAAATATCTTAACCTATTTTTTATCTCAAACGGTTGTTTTCCACCAGCGCTTAGCTGGGGTCTGTTGTTTATGAGGAAGTGGCCAACTCATTTTTCTCGGCCTCCTGCTGTTACTGAAAAACATCCTTACACACCCTAAGGGGCACCCTTTTTGCTGCAATCTTACCTCCATTATGCCTAGGTATAATTTTTGCTGTCAAATGCCATCATCAGTTTGCACATCTATTGTCTCAATTAAAGAGGGAACATTCTCAAGCCTATGCATGCAATCCTTCAAAGTTAGGGAAGGTCCGTCAACAGGATCCATGGGGCTTTACCTCCGTCATGGCTGCATTTTACTGGGGCCTTGCTCCCAGCTAGCATTTTTCCTGTTTTCAGGTCCCTTTTACCTTACTTTTACTAATGATTGTGTCTCCCGGCATCTCCCCCTTTTTTATTTTTTAAAATGGCAAAGTGGATAGTGTCGGCATTTCGTCGGACAGCTTTTCTTACTCTTTGGATAATGATTGGTAAAATAAACAGCAAAAAGAGAACAATTGATCCAATTGTTATGAAATTATATATCAAATTCCAAAGAGAGTTAGAGGAAACAAACCGAGTGAGAGAATTTGCAAAATTAGACACTGCCTGAGAAAAAGATGTTGGAGATAAATGAGCCTGGGAAATAGCTGTAATTTGGCTACATAACTGCTGGAGATTTAAAGTCGAATTGATAGAATACCAAACTCCCTGTAAATGTTTTTGGACATCAGCCCAACTAATATTTTGCCCATTATAAGGCATGAGAATAACACAAATCCATTTAAATTCTGCATGACAAGCAACAGACATCCGCACTTTAATATGCTGTATCTGATTGCCTATATATAATAACGCTGATTCTAAAGCATTTAACCTATCAATAATACCTTTATCTATCTGTTCTTGGGTAAATAAAGCTAAACTAACATTCTGAAACAGTTCGTTCACATGCTCCGCAATATGCATTTCCTGTACTAAGGCCGCTGCAGAGGTTGCTATGGACCCCATTATAGTAATCAGAGCCGTAATTCCCAATATAAGGGTGACCACAAATCTATGTGATCTAGCTAAAGAAGTCACTTGTTCCAAGATATATGTTCCAGGGGTGGCATACCAAGGCACAGACAATTTATCAGGTACAAATACATACGATGGGTGTTTTAACAAAAATATCTCTACAGGGTTTTTAATAATACAATTAGATAAAGAACAATTTTCACAAGTAATTTCGAAATGACCAAGAATGTACTTAACAGAATAAGTAGAATGTTGTCCAGCAATTAATAAAACATAAGGAGAATCTACACAAGCTTGTAACACAAAATTAACATTTGTTCTGGGTCTATGTAAGGTAACAAGTCCTGTTGCAGCAAATAAATGAAATAGATAAGTCTGATAAGAGTTATTTGGCAAAGAGCTTTGAAAAATCGGAGTAACCCATCCATAAGCTGACCATGTATCTAATAGTGCTGGGAGAGGTATTGGTGGATGAGTAATGTTCCAAGCATATTTAAACTGTCCATTTTCACTTTTTAAAAATTCTCAAAAAGATAGACCTGGAGTGTCAATAATTCCAGATGACACCAGATGAGAAACTGACCAATCATATACCTTGTCAAAAGAATACGCTTGAAGGGGAATCTGATTAGATGGCTTGAATAAATCGTAAAATACCATTTTATCAAATACACATAATCTCCACTTTGGAAAACCTGAATTAATACCTACATTATTCCAATTATGCATGACATAAGTATGGTCCTTGCAGGAAGTAAAATTATTAGGTATGTATGGGCCCTCTGTATATCTTCCATTACTACTAAAATTATCTGCAGGATGAAAAAAGGAGAGCCCCCATATATTGTTAAGACGCCTGGAGGGGGAGTCTGTTAATATAGATCTCCGTTTTAAAAGTACACACCCAGACCAGGAAAAACTAGGGGAAAAGTAAATAGGAGGAGTCCCTGTTACGCCTGTATACTTTATATTAGTGACCATTCTGGTGGACATAAATGAAGAACTTTCGCCTCCCATTAACTTGCTGTTATTAGTAAAAACCTTAATGGTAGTTTTGTTCCAAGTTACCAGATGGAAAAAGGGTGGATCAGGTACATAAGCCCAATAGCTTGGGGAATCATCTTTTAACATAGTGGCAGCATGACACCTGGTTGGGGACAATACCTGAGCAGTTATGACTGCGAGCATGGCCACAAACAAAGTTCTTGAGTTGATGGTATGTCCTTGGGATGCGACCAGTTCCTCTGCCTCTTCTGCCAGGGTCTTCAGCTGGCCCCAAGTAGGTGGTCTAGAAGTCCTAGTTCGTCTGGAGCGCCGGTGTCTGTGAGATCTCAAGGACAGCCTGGAGAACCATGTAAGAACTGCAGGAGGAGCGACTGGCGGTTCAGCAGGAGCCAATGTGGATGTTGAGCTGGCTGGAGAAAGATCTACTGGAGAATCAGGAGATCATGAAGAAAGCGGGTACGGCGTTTTTCAAACCGGTACAGAAGTTCCCTCTTCACTGTTGGAGGGACTAAAATATTCAGTCACTTTCCAGTGTGGTGGAGAGGGAAGCGGGGGAGGCACTTTTCGTTTGGTCCGCTTCGGCGGCATGGGCTGGACGGACGGGTAGCTCATGGTGGTGACGGATGAGTCGATCAGATACCCACACAGACGAACCAGCATTCTGGGGAAAGACACAAGCAAATCCTCATCCGGATGTTAGTAAAATATCAGGACCTCACCACTCTCCAGTGAGCAAGTCCTTCCACCTGACCAATGGGAAGGTTTGTTTTTTGTTTATGGTAACATGCCATGAAAAGGCTGACTCTCCTTCGTAATTAACATTTAAATGATTAATTACAAATAAAGCATGACTTAAAACGTGTTGAGAAACATTTATAATCTCCTTCTTGTAATTTAGTAAGCTGATGTTTTAAGGTTTGATGGGCTCATTCCACAATAGCTTGCCCTTGAGGGTTATAAGGAATTCCTGTGGAATGAGATATTCTAAATGTTGTACAAAAATCCTAAAATGCCTTAGAGGTATAGGCAGGAGCGTTGTCTGTTTTTAATGCCCGAGGCATCCCCAAGACAGCAAAACATGCAAATAAATGTTGTTCAACATGCTTAAAGACTTCCCCAGTCCTGGCCGTAGCCCATATGACATGGGAATATGTGTCTACACAAACATGTACATAAGAAGTTTTGCCAAACGTCTTCCAATGAGTCATGTCCATCTGCCATAAATCATTAGATCTCAAGCCCCATGGATTTACTCCTTCTGGTGGAGCAGGGGGAGAAGGGCATATTTTACAATTTAGAACGATCACTCTGGCAGTTTCTCAAGGTATATAAAATTGTAATCTCATAGCCGTAGCATTTTGGTGATGTAAATTATGATTTTCTATCACTTCCTCAATGGCTGTTAACACCGCCTTAGTATGGAAGTCTGCCAATGCATTCCCCTCATGTATAGGACCAGGTAACATAGAATGCGCTCGTATGTGTCCAATAAAAAATGGGACACTTTGAGCTTGAATTAATACCTGTAATTTTTGCAATAACGAGAAAATGGAAGAATTTTTTGACATAGGTGCAGTCTCTATATGAGGAAATAAAGCAACTATGTATTTG